AGAAGGGTGAGAGCAGCCCTGCATTAAGCCTGGGCCAACACCCTCCTGAGAGACCCTCCTGAGAGACCCTTTTAAAGAGCTTTGTCTGTCAATAGGAATGACAACTGAGAGTCGTTATACATTTTACAGACTCATCATCAAATAATTTGATTTATGAATGCAAGCTAACGTACCCTAATACTGTTTCTTCCATTCACCGCTAATAGGCCAGTGGTCGGCCAACAGGTGAGTGTGACCTTTCGGCAACAGGGGACATCTGGCCTGCCCAAAAGCCTCTTAGAATTCTCCTTCTGGCGTGTGCACGAACTAGCTGTCAGCTCATTCCGGAAAAAGGCGACTGCCTTGCCCGTATTCACGAGACTGACGGTCCAGCTGGAGGCCAGGCCCAGGGGGATGGCGCCGAGTGTGAGCCGCGTAGAGGCCGTGCTCACCCGGGGCGTGGGCAGTTTAGCGGTGCAGATGAGACGCTCCACTGGTTGGGAGGTCTTCTGTTCACCAGCCGCCCACGCACCTTCAAGATCCTCCTCCTCTGAGAGGCAGCTCTGGTCTGCCGGAAGCGCACAAACGTAGAGGTCGAAGCTCCCGTTTTTAGAGGCTCCGTACGCGTGGTCGTAGTCTACCTCACAGTCTAATTGCGAAAACGCGTCGACCACACCTGTTACAGAACAAGCAAAAACATATTTTCCACTAGTTGCGTAGAGAGGGGGGGTTGCAATCTTATTGGCAAACATTTTTAACCGAAAGGTTAAGTATTAAATTTACGTTTGTGGTGAGTAACACAACTGACGCTTATAAAACTACTAAAACTAGCATGCTTACCAACTCGAAATAATGCGAAGTGAACAAAAGTGTGAGGTTACCTTTAAGCCACTGTTTCCAATTTCACTAACGACGCCACGGACGAAACCGAAAAAAATTAAAAATTAAAAGCCACACCTTCTTTTTTTCAAGTACGCATTCATTAATACTTTCGCAGTTCTTAATATTCGGCTCACCCAGGTACTATCCATTGAATGATGACCTGATTTTGTTAGCATTACGATCGGAAAAACGCTTTTATCTTCTAGTTTGATTCCTTCTAACTTTCAGTATATTATGTTTGTTGATTTTTTTATAGGTGCACTATGTTTTAGAGTGTTCTCATTAAATCATTGACTATTTGTATTGACCAAAGCTCTTTACCAAGCACAGTCTTTCTTTAGAAATATGGGCGTTTTTTCGAAAATAACCAGCAATTCATCAGCGAATGTAATTTTAAGCCCCGGTATATGCAGTGTGGATTATAATTAACGCAAGACTGAGTTGTTCGGCCATTTCCAGCGCTCCTGTTGCCGGAGGTACTAGGTTGAGTGGGGCAAGTGAGCCTGTAGCAGTCTTGAAGATCTTGCCTTTACAGGAAAAAATATGATCAACAAGAGTTCAGCCTTGCATGAATAGAATCGGTCATGATCGTGAGGTCACTATCAAGTATAAGATTATGAGATACCAATAACTCTCTGTCAGGAGAAAATAAGTAAATCAACTTCTATTGCAGTTTATATATCTCCTGTGGATTTACCTACGCGTGAGCCACCGAAGAACTATGTTAAGAGCACGAGGGAGGAAACTAAGCCAGTTAAAAGGCTAGAGCCCTTGTAATGTTCAACAGAAAATTACGTGATTTTCGAGCAGGGTTTTGCCTTTCAGTACGCTAAGGGTAAAAAGTTCGTTACAAATGTTTATGATACTTATCACGCAGGAAGTTAGAAGGTCCAAATGGCGACAGACATTGCAGCTTATGTAAGTAAGTGAAAATCTACATACGCGGAAGAATGTCTACAAACTACAGCTTTTTAACTATGGTATGTCAGCGCTCTTTGCTTGGCAGGAGAGATTTACTGATGAGTACTCACCACTTTTAGGCCGAATCTGGAAGAAGGTGCTGCCCTCCTCGTCAAAAAGTGGAACCCAACGGAAGACCGCAGGTGCATTCAGGGCGTTGGTCAGACGAACAAAGCCCCGCAGCCCTGGTCGGCAGGGATCTGCGAGGCTCATATCTTTGGTGGTTAGAGTGAGGTTTGTCGGGTAAACACTGAGCATCAGGGGGACAACCTTGGCGCAGAGCACGCAATTTCCAGCAAGACCGCCATTTAAGTGAATGGCCACGTTAC